TCTGTGTATCCTTTACATACATTCCGTGTATCCTTTACATACATTCTATGTATCCTTTACATACATTCTGTGTATCCTTTACATACATTCTGTGTATCCTTTACATACATTGAAAACTGAGGAAAACAACAGCTACCGTAGGTTGCTAACCACACAGCTTTATAGGACCTTGGCTGGCGTGTCAGAGACATGGGCTTCTCTTCAGTTACAGAGCAAATCAATTAAGGGAACAGCCACTGCCCACTTTCAGAATGTGAATTCTGAAATGTGAATTCTATGGCAACTCAGATAGTAAAATGTTGGCAAATCGTGTCAGCTCCTCTCTCACAGCCAGCTCTGACTTCAGTGGTGTCCGGCCCCCCCCAGTTCCCCCCCCTCGTTCTACTTCAGGACAACTACTCTTCTGTGAATGGGACACAGTCACTGATTGATCATGGTACAATGTCTACAGTAAAGTATGGTCACACTGTGTCTTAGGGAAGATTTGTAACAGTGCGTTTTGAAGAGGGTGGCAGCTCTGTTTTAACCTGCTTAATTTAAGGAGCTTCAATCATTAAGATAAACAACTTCCTCTCGCCTGGAATTCAAACTCAAAGAGTCTCAGTTTAAGAAGTAACCTCTCCATGGGTTCATGCTTTGAGATTTCCCCCTCCCTATGCCAGCACCTGGGGGTGGGGCTTCTTGGTGGCATTTTAGGACACAGAATTTATTTTGTCCTTTGATTCTTTCCCCCATATTCTGTTTTTTTCCAGAAATATAAGAACTTCATCAGACCATCCTACACTTTTATATTTCAAGGCTCATGGCTCTGCTATGTTTTCTAACTGGGAGAAGAAAGTGGCCACTGCTGGAACAGCCATGAGAAGCAACATCTGGACTTCTTGAAATATCTCAAAGGTTGTAATTTTCATTTATAGATATTTTAAAAAATCCACTTGCTTAAGGACACTCTATAGAGGCAGACAAATTACAAAGAGTTTATACTTTTTCGGCACTGGAGTTCATGGTCAGTAAGGGACAACTGGATTTCAGCCCTTATCTGGTCCCAGAAAGGTATTTTCAGCATATGCAAGGAGACTACTTTTGTAGACCATGGAGCAGGTCCTCTTTGCCCCGGCTCTTTGCTACCCATGCCTGAGGCCACAGGGATGACACCACAGATATTCTTTCTTCAGCATCAGAAATCTCCCCAGCTTCTGCCTCCCAGGCTTTGTTCAAATTTTCATTCTCTTCTTGTCTTTTTGGTTCTCTTCGGGTCATGGATATGAACCAAGTTCTGTATCTTTGCTCCAGGATTTTCAGTTTTTTTGGACTAAGTCTCACCTAGCAGGAATGAAGGGCTCCAAGACCCACCTCCCTCAGCCCTTTCTGCTTCACAAAGAATTGCCAGATAGCAATTCAGATGGCAACAAAACATGATGTTTGGGGACATCATGAACATCTGTCTCAGGATTCTTGGCATGGGTGGTTCCCGTGTAAACTACAATCTGAATTTGTGTGATTGCCTTAGGAAATTTATAAGCCGCAAATTATGTCAATTCATAATGCATAGGCATCAATTTCCTACCACGGGGTTAACCAAATAGCCTGCTTCAAACCAAATACAGATGACGGTGGAAACAGATGAAGTATAATTTGTGATGAATTATCAGGAATAGAAACCACTGACAAGTACAACCAACTCAGAACACACTGATGCCAAGAACACCGCATACTTCCCCAAAGCTGAGGCTGCTGCAACCACATAGTTTATAGTGAAAAGTTTCATCTGCATTGTAATGGTAAAAATAAAATGCTGCGAATCCCCAAGTGGCTGCAGCAGCAGAAATGCTGCAGGTCCCCAAGCGGCAGTGCAGGTAGCAGGCAGGGTGGTGGGTCCTGAGAGCAGACAGTCCTAGGTAGGGACAACACAGTTCCCAAAGTGGCTGCAGCGGGCCATGGGTCCTAGGCAGGGAGCCACGGGTGAGAGACCTCAATGGGGCAGCCAGTCTCACGAGGAGAGAGAGACAAACAGGCACACCACGAGACCACACTGCAGGTCTCCGAAGGCTGCTGGTCCTGGGCAGGGAGCCATGAGGCAGGTGAGAGACAGAAACATGGATAGGCATGCCATGCAGAGTGAGGTTGGATATTTATTTAGTGGGTTATGGAAGGGAAGAGGGAGAAGAAGAGAAGAGCAGAGAGGGGGAGGAGAGAGAGAGAGAGACAAACAGACAGAGAGAGAGAGAGACAGAAAGAGAGGGAAAAAGGGGAAGGGGAGAAGTGGGAAGAGACAGCAGAGGGAGATGGAAAAGGAAGGGGCTCAGGCTGGAAGCTGAAGATCAGCTTGCCTCTGAGGATAGGGGAGAGAGTGGGCGTGGCTTACCTATAAAAGGGACAGAGCAGACCATTACACACATCACTAAGCGCTGCCTATCAGGCAGGCAAATTCTGTTAGGTTCTCACTAAACTCTAATTGTTAAAATTTTATTTCTGAATATCAAATGCTACTTACTCTTAGAAATTAGTAAGTTCCTTTTAATGAGAAAGTGTGCACACAAACACGCGCATGCGCGCACACACACACACACAGGACATCATGAGCCATTTGTCATTAAGAGTCAAAGAAAAGATCTTTTGAGACTAGTCTGTGAGACGTTGGAAGGATGCTCATGGCCTACCTGTTAGCTGTGGTTGGAATCGCTGGTTGGACAGTTGGTTTGTCTCTTTGATGCTGCTTCTTAAGGTGCTGATACTGTTCCCACTTTACCCTTTGACACTATGGGGCATTGGAACCCTAGACCCTAGCCAGCAATCCAGGGCAGCCCTGGCCTGACCTTCCAAAGCCCCGGTCTCTCACTAGAGTCCCTGTCTGGGAGGGAGAGTCAGATGTTACACTCTAACTGGCCAGATGGCTGGTGGCCACCCTGCAGCATCTGTGATGCCATAATGGGAAGGCTTGGGAGAGTCATCCTGGAGGGAAATCAGAAGAGGTAGTCACAGGCCATCTCTGACTTCCCAACCATGTGACAATGAGCAAGTTACCTCACTTCTCAGTTCAGATTTCTGCTTAATGAAATGGAAATAGCAATAACATGAAGTTTGTGTTGTGCTCACTAAGTGACAATGTTCACGCAAACATCTGGACTGTCCTAGTTACCAAGTATAACTCATAATAGTGGATGACGTTCCACGTAACTGCCAATGAAGGTCAAATGCGAAGATGGCGCAGGCCTGAGAGTCAGTGAGGAATTTATGATTCCTTAAGTACATTCCTCAACGACTCCAGGTCCTTTGCTTTTTCCTTTTCAAGGCAGGGAGTAGAGCGCATTACAGACTGATTCCAAACATCAGAAATGAAGGAGGCTTTTTCTCACTAGTTTCTTTTGTCTCTTTCTTTTCCACCCCACTAGAGTTTAGGACTCTTGGAAGACTGTGGCTGAAGAATGCTAGGAATTCTTCCCCCACCCAGCTGGGAATGTGTCCTGCTTGGAGCTCTTGGCAGGCACGTGAGGACTGCCTGATAAGGCCCAGCTTGTGGAGCCACAGAACTTGGGGATGCACATTGCCGCATGGGTGTGGTTGCAGGCCAGAGCCACCTCTGACTCAGCCCCTTCTCAATATCCCTCAGAGGCTGTTCTTACAGGACTAACCTCTACCATCAGTAAGTGAAGACACAGCACAGCCAGATATTTCAAACAAAACAGATCTGGATGCTCCGTCTTTGGGGAAACACATGGTCATGTTTTGCTGCTCTGGCTGGCAGTGTGAACCTGGGAAAGCGGGGTCTAAAAATAAGGCAAACTAGAGTCTCATGCAATAGGCAGCTTTATTCAGAGCATCAGACAGTTTCTACTCTGAGGGTTACGAAGAGTGGCCTAAGTAAAATGTACAATCACAAGGACAAGACGCATGTGACAAAGACATGTTTTTGCTTAGAGGGACGTGAGCAACAACAGCTAAAGTGAGCTCACTCCCATCCCCTCCACCTGGGAGGAACACGGAAACACATTCCAAGAACGATTCTGTGTTTTGAAGGAACTGAGGTCATAAGATTCTTGTCTTGTTTTCTTGGAGTTTTCTCATAAGTACTCAGAATTCTCACCATGACTCCATTCTTGGACCCTGTTCGACAGTCAGTCATGGTAGTTGGCTGAGCCACTGTTAAGTCTCAGACCCTGGGAGAAATGGCTAAGGTGCCTATTTAACATATCAAAGAGGATCTAGCCACCAGATTCTCCCAGCATCCCCCTCAGTCCCTATCTATAACAGGGTGTGGCTGGCATACCCTGCCCTCTATTCTGAACTCTCCAGCCCAGGGGCTGGGCTGCTCTTCCCCCAGAGACTCTTCCTTATATAACCCAGCTATTTTGGTTACCTGCCCCTGTTGTACCTTTGCCCTCTTGGCTGCTGCCCCTGGTCCCCCTACATCACAACCTAAAGTAAGTTGGGACTATAGATATTTGAGGAGTCAGGGAGAACAGCAAGGGAGGACTAGGAAAGGCCTGTGTGAGGGATGAAGGGTGGGCTGGGAAGAAACTTCAGTGTAAAAGACTTTGGACTTGGGCGGGACTAAGGCATAGTTTAAACAATATTAGTCATCTGTGTGTGGTGTGGCCTGTGCCAGAACCAGGCAGGGGGTGTTGCAAGGCATGATTAGATAGGGAGTAGGTGTTTACGATTGATCAGAATCAGTGTATGATTCTCCTGAAAGAATGGCTCCTTGTTGGAGTAGGATCTGAGCCAGGGACAGAAGGCTGGAGAAGGAGAGCTAGAACACCCGGACCCATCACTAACTGCCGTTAGGAGTAGGCATTCAGTGTCTCACATGCACACCCGACACTGAAGGTGCCTGTGAGCCTCTGCCTACGTGTTTGCCTCGTCACTTTCCTTTGAGATCCTCTGCTCTTTCAGCTTTCTCTGCTTTAGTTACGGGTGCCCCAGTGGATTAGCCTGGTCTCCTTTTCCCTCTCCATCTGCCTTGTGCAGATATCACTATGGTGGTTATCCCATCCCTATTCTGCCACGACTCTGGTCTATGGTAGACACTACTGCTAACTAGTACTCAATTCTTTTCTTGATGACCACTATTCTTGCTTTAAAACTTCCAGTTAAGCAGAGTCTTATGACTTCTTTGTGTCAAGGAAAGATGAATGAAAAATCATGTATTATTCTAGGCAAAGACAGTGAAAAACTTTCTCAATTCTCCATACATGAAATAATTCTTTTCTGTTGTGTAGAATGTAGTACCACCCTCTAAATACTCAAGGGCTACATATTGAAGTGATGGAGTCTCCAGATCAAAGTAGGCTGAGAAGCCAGATAGAAGACTATAATCTAACATCAACTTTTCTGGGCAGAGTCCTTGCAAATTTATCATCCCTCTTACGTATTCCCAGCTTTATCCAAACATTGCTGACCATATTATATTGCTTCTATTTATGAATCTCTCCCTGTGAGGGTATAAAGCTAACTGAGTCAATACCTATTAGACACATACTGGATGCTCACTTGTAGGAAATGATGAGGTAATGTGACTCAGAGATGATGAGGGCACTCAGGGCTCATCCTTGGGCACAAGACGACCAAGATGTGATCCAGACTGAGTAATTCAACTTCAGAGCATCTTCACTTTGACAGACCTCCCCATGAAGTGGGGCTGGGGTTCTGGCCTCTAACTTCATGGTAGACTTAACAAATGGTGGGCTTAAGGCAGGAATTTAGCTTTATGTTGTAAGCGAGTATGAGTGCTACAGATCTGGAGCCACAAAGATACCCTGACTTATCCAGAAGCCAGTTTATACCTAGATCTGCAATGGGACAGCTCTGGAGGGGTAGAGCTGCAGTAGGACAGCTGTGGAGGCTGGAGGGAAAGGTGTCCTGGCTTATCTGGAAGTTGGGGTGTGGTGGGGGATGGTGTCTCCCCACGGTATAGCAATCCTGTTGCTCCTCTCCCAGAGAGCCGCTACAGCTGAGCTCTGCTCTGTTCCCCTAAGAGAACCTCCTCTCAGAACTATCAGCTTCTTTGACACCCAAGATGTTAACTTCAGCTACTTTCTGCAAAAGGGGGAGCCGTGGCAGACGTGTAGCAATCTCCTCTGGTTCCAGCGAAAAGTTGTTACTTTTTCTGCTGAGAGTTGCTCAGCGGCCCTAAGGGAAAGTCTCAGCAAGGTTCTTCTGTTCTGTTCAGCTTTTCTCAGTCCCCCTAAGGGAGTTTCTCAGCAGTTTTTCTTCTCTATCCACTAAGGGATGTCCCAGCCAGGTTCTTCTATTCTGAACTGGCTAATGAAGATCTTCACCCAAGACTCTTTTGAGAGATTTATTTAGGAAGGAGTTCAGTAGAGCGGCTGTCTCTGCCAGGGTGAGAAAGGACATCCTCAGCTGAACAGGCAGAGGGGCTTATATAAGGCTTCTTCTTCCTCTTCTTCTTCTCCTTCTCCTCCTCCTCCTCTTCCTCTTCTTGTTTGTTTGTTGTTGTTGTTTTGAGATAGGGTTTCTCTTAGCGTTGGAACCTGTCTTGGAACTCGCTCTGTAGATCAGATTGGCCTCAAACTGCCATAGATCTGCCTGTTTCTGCTGGGATTAAAGGTGAAATTACCTGGCACAACAAATCCGTTTAGGAGTTTACTAGAGGGGGCGTGCACAGGCCTGGGGAAGTCAGTGTGCAGAGACAGAGAGAGAGGGAGA